GGCATAGCCTTTAACGGCCCTGGCCCCCCGTCCTGCCTCCTGGAATGTATGCTGCAGTGCTCCCTCTCAGAACCCCGCTGTCATGCTCTGAGAAGCCCAGGCCACATGGAGAGGCCACATGCAGGCACTCCATTTGACAGCCGTAGCTGAGCTCCCCGTCAACAGCCAGAATCAATGGCCAGACATGGAGAGAACCTTCTAGGACGTCCAGCACAACCAAGCTTTCACATGACTCGAGCCCTGGTACCCATCTGATTCCAACTGCGTGAGACCCTAAGGGAGAACTGCCTGGCTGAGCCAGGTCAAATCACAAGAACCGTATGAGATAGTAATAAATGCTTGTAAGCCCCTAACCTTTGGGGTGGTGCTGCAGATGATAATTGGAAAGGAAGTATAGGTATAAGTTTTCATCCTCATTTTACAGGTAGGGAAACTGAGTCCCAGAGGGGCTCAGAAACTTCCCAAATTCAGACAGTTAGTAGATGGCAGAGTTAGGATTCAAACCCAAGGCAGCATGACCTTGACCAGAGTTTCCACACATAATTTCTTCCCTCTAGAATCTCCCAGTCTGGGAAGAGAGACAGCTAAGCCTGAAGTGTGGTGCATCAGATATTTGCAGCAGAGGTGCAGGACTGGGTGCACACACAGGAGTGAGGGGACCCACCTGTCTTTGCCATGTTGTCTTGCCACCTCTTCAGCCTCATCTAGCACCTTCCCTTCCTTTGGACCCCCGTGCTCAAACCTCAATAAACTTCATGCCCTATGATACATCATGCCTCTGAGTATTTCTCTGAACTCACTTCTCCAACCACCAATAGCTCATTATCCTTCCATGTGTGGTTAAGATGGCCCCTCCTCCAGGAAGCCTTCCCTGAGTTGACAATCACAGCTCCCTCTGTTACCTGACTCTATTCCCCCATATTGTTATGGGCTCCAAACTCCCTGGGTGAGGGAGTTCCTCTTCTATGAATTGTTCTGCCTGGCATGTGGAAGGGTCATGACACATGAATCACAAATAACTAGGTGAATCCACTTTCTCCCCCTCCTCCCCTTCCCAGTGAAATTATCCCCCAGTAGCTCCTTCACTTACTCACATTGCCTGACATTCTATTACAGATCCAAGAAGTCTTTTATTTCACCCTTAGAAGTGGAGTCTTCTTGTTTAAATACATAAGGATATAAGGAATAATTACTTTTGAATGTTTGGTGGATCTCTCCAATGAAACCATCTGGACCTGGAATTTTCTTTGTCTTTCTTTTGTCTTTTATTTTTAAGTAATCTCTACACCCAACATAGGGCTCAAACTCACAACCTGGAGATCAAGAGTTGCATGCTCTACCAACTGAGCCAGCCAGGCACTCCTTGAAGTAATAACTTAAAAAAAAAAAAAAAAAGATTTATTTATTTATTTGATAGAGCACGTGTGTGCATGTGTGCGTGAGTGGGGGAAGGGGGAAAAGGGAGAGAGAGACTCTTCACGCAGACTTCCCCTGAGTTCAGAGCCTGATGGGGCTTGTCCCCACGACCCATGAGATCACGACCTGAGCCAAAACCAAGAGTCAGACACTTAACCAAGTGAGCCACCCAGGCGCCCCTGGAATAATAACTTACAAAAAAAAATGTAACATGTATTACTATGAGCCAAACACTATTGGAGGCACTGTCCGTGTATATTATCCCATTCATGTCTCACAGGTGCCCTGAGGGTCAGTTCTGTTGCTCCTCTTTACAGATAAGGAAACGGAAGCTCAGAGAGGTTGGGTAACTTGCCCAAGGACACATATCTACAAGTGATGGCACTGGGAGCCAAACTCTGGTGGCTTGGTTCCAGAGTCCCGCCCCTTGGCCACACAGCAGAGACAAAGGTTCCAGGGTCCCACCCAGAGCCAAGGACCAGATTTCTTGTTGGCCCTCAGTAATGAGCATACACTGCTCTCCATCCACTGGGTTTCAGCCACTCTGTTCCACTCAAGCCTCCTTAGTCCCTGCCATGGCCCTTCAGCCTCACAACTTTTGCCTTCTCTCTTGTGGTCCTTTGGCTTCTGCTTCCTCTCCTTGTCAACTGCTAACCCCTCCCAGTGCCTCCCAAGTCAGACTCCTCAACAGAGAGGATCTGATGGGCTTCTGTTGGGCAAAGCTCACATGTCAGGCCGCTCCAAATGCTGCTGGCCAACCCCTTGGTGGGCTGCTCCTGGCTCATGGGCCATCGTGGTCCAAGTGGATGTGGCCAAGAGGTTAGGGACACCTGATGTGCCCCAGAAGGGCCTGAAAGTCTGGCTGGTTCTCAGAGCCTAAAAACTTCTAAAACTTCCAACTCAAAAAGGATTTAAAAGGATTAGAAGAGTGTCACGGACATGGATGCTTTTGCCTTCCTGTCTCAGGTTGGGCTGCCTTAACAAAATACCATAGACTGGGGGCCTTAAACAGCATACATTGCTTTTCTCACAGTCTTGGAGGCTGGGAAGTCCATGGTAAAGGTACTAGCCAATTGTTTCTGGTGAGAGCTCCTTTCCTGGCTTGCAGATAGCAGCCTTCTTGCTGTGTTTTCACATGGCAGAGAAGGAGGGAAAGAACTCTCCGGTGTCTCTTCTAAGGGCACTAAGGCCATGGGCACTAATCCCTCATGACCTCATCCAACCCTAATTACCTCCCTAAGGCCCCATCTCCAATACCAAAACACTGGTGGCTAGAGCTTCAATGTATGAATTTGTAGGGGACGCAAACATTCAGTGCATAACACTGCCTAATATTCCTTCCCCTTTCTGGGACCTGCACCCTGATTTTCCTTTTGGGAATCACCCCTCCCCCACTCAGTTCCTGTGGTCCTGGAGAACTACCCACACACAGCTACATGGGTAGGTAGAAATTGCCCTGTCCAATAAAAATATCTACTCCCTGGATATAATGATTGTTTAAAAGATAGAGCCATGACCCATATTTGGACCAATCAGAGGGCCTGCTGTAGACTGAATTATGCCCCCCCAAATTCATATGTTGAAACCCTAGCCCCCAAATGTGACTGTATTTGGACATGGGGCCTTATGGGAGATCATTAAGGTTAAATGAGATCATAAGGGTGGGACCCCAATCCCATAGTACTGGTGTCCTTATAAGAAGAGGAAGAGACCCCAGATCTCCCCCACCCAGCCCAACTCTCTCTCTCACCCCCTGTCCCCATGCACAGAGGGGTGAGGACATGTGAGGACTCAGTGAGAGGGTAACTGTCTACAATCCAGGAAGAGGGGCCTCACCGGAAATCAGCCCTGATGGCCCCTCAATCTTGGACTTCCAGCCTCCAGAACCATAAGAACATAAGTCCTGACCATGCCTGATTTGAGCACCTGGATCTACCGGAACTAGGTCTCATGTCTGCATACCACAGTTACACAAGCCAATGAATTCTCTCTGCTTGAGTTTCGTTTCTGTCACTTGCAACCAAAAGCACTGTGACTGATACAGAGTCAACTCTCATTTTATTATATTCTTTCATTATATCTGACCAGAGATATCATCATAATTACACTGGTGTAAATGAGTTGTAGTCAGACAGTGACAGTCTAATTGAAGCCTTGGAACCTACACTCCCTCGGGGCAGGTGAACAGAGAAGAACTTGGAAATTCTTGAATTCTCACCGGCTACTTGGAGACGGTGCATCTGGTTGGCTTTCTCCTAGAGGGTGAAATCTTTAAGGGGGGTTATGGAGTCCTTTGCCTAAGCCCTTGCTCCTCCAAGGGGCAGCCCTTCTCACCAAGAGGCATCACCCAGTGTAGAAATCTCCATGTGCATGGCAGCAGGTCAGTCCTATAATCTCTGAGAGGCAGATTTTTTTGGTCATTCACAAATGAAGTTAGAAGTTCAGCCACAAGGACACTCTGCTCAAAGGGAACACTGATAACATATCTCCCCGTGGTCGCCCCGATTGGGCCTGTCTTCATTCAGAAAATAACCCTGTGTTGGGCTCTGCACTCAGTGTGGAGTCTGCTTGTCCCTCTCCCTCTGTTCCTTCCCCTGTTTTCTCTTTCTCAAATAAATAAGTAAAATCTTAAATAAATATAGATAGATAGATAGATGATAGATAACCAACCAACCCAGAAGGGAAGCAACACAGTATGACACTTGGATAACTGTTTCACAGCTTCTAATGAAAGTAAAGGTGGGCTCACCCTGTGACCCAGTAAATCCACTCATAGGTATTTACCCCAGAGAGAGGAGAGCTTAAGTCCACCAAAACAAACAAAACTTTCCAGAATGTTCACCACAGCTTTATTAGGTACAACAGGAAGATCTCAAACGCAGAGCTGAGTGAGAGAAGCCAGACACAACTGAGAATATTCAGTACTATTTCAAGTATAGCGAGTCCAAAAACAGGCAAAACGAATCTATAATGACAGAAAGCAGGATATTGTGGTGGCCTCAGGCTTGGGGGTCAGGGGGTGCTATGAGGGAAGGTAGATTGGGAAGAACCTCGAGGCATCTTTTGGGGGTATTGGCACGTTCTATTAGTTGAGCTGGTGGTGGTTACACAGGTGTGCACATAAAGGAAAATTAATGGAGGGGAACCCGGAGGGTTTGGGCATTTCGGGGCGTGTAAGTTACACTTCGGGCAAGTCCTCTTCCCACACATCCGCAGCCACGCCCACACCAAACCCCGGGAGGCCCAGACCCAGCTGCGGCCCCGGCCTTGCCCGCTTCGGAAGGGCCCAGCCCACCGTCCGTGTGCCGGCTCCCTCCAGGCCAGCTTCCGCGCCTCGGCGAGCGCAGGGAGGCCGCGTCCTCCCGGGAAATCGCCGGGCAGCCCCTCCCCGGCCGGGTCCCGCCCGGGCTGGACCGGGGTCTCCGGCGCGGGTCCCCGACGCGTGCGCCCCGCCCCCACCGGCACCCGGCGACAGCCCGCCCGGGCCCGCCCCGCCCCGGCCCCGCCCCCGGCCCGCCCCGCCCCGCTTATCTGGCCGGTCGGCCGCTGCCGGGCAGGCGGCGGACGGGCAAGGGGGCCGCGCGATGTCGCACGGAGCCGGGCTCGTCCGCACCACGTGCAGCAGCGGCGGCGGACCGGGGGCCGGCGCGGGGCAGCCGGGCGCGAGGCCCTCGGAGGGGCTGCTGGACCCCATCTACCCCCGCACGTACTCGGCCCTGCTGAAAGTGGCGCAGATGGTAAGAGAGGCCCGGGGCGCGGGGCCGGGGTCTCGCGGAGAGGCCCGGCGGGAAGGGGAGCCGGGAGGTGGCGCGCCGGGAGGCTGGAGCCGGGCGGAGCCCGCCGGAGCATCTCGCCGCGGGCGGGGCGGGGCGGGGGGGACTGCGCCGCCACAGTCAAGTTCGGGGAGGGCTTTCCTTCGGAAAGTTGGGTGCGCTGCCCGCGCCCTGGAACTCAGCCCCGACGCCGCCCTTGCTCCCACGGACGCAGGTCTCCAGGGTCCCAAGTTTTTTCCAGCCACCCCTCTGCGGGGCCCGACCCGCTTTCCGACAGAAACCACAGGCAAAAGTTACGTTTCCTCTTCCTTCCTCTTCTCTGGGCCGCGCCTCTTCGAACCCGAGCCGCGGGGTGGAAGAGTCGCCTGGGCGGCGCGCTGAGGCGGCGGAACCCGTCCTTCTCCCCCGCGAGGCCTCCTCTCCCCTCCCAACCCAGAGAGCAGGGCTGCCCTGCTCGGGGCGCAGTTTCGCAGAAGAGAGGAAGTCCGAAGTTCTCAGTTCCCTGGTGGGGAAAAGGGATGGGGACCCTGAGGGGCAGCTGTCCTGGACCCCTGCCCTCTCAAGTTCAAGGGAGGGTCCAGGTCTCAGGGGGCCGCTGGAACGCCGAGGATCGATGGGGAAGGTCCGTTTTGAGGAGCCTGTGCACTAGTCCCCTCGCTAACCGTTTGGAGTATCCAACCCTGTATTTACTGTTTTTTCCTATGTGTACATACCTATGATAAAAGTTTAATTTATCAACTAGGTGTAATAGGAGAGTAACAACGACTAATAATAAAATAGAACAATTATAACTATATACTGTAATAAAAAATATGTAAATGTGGTCTCTTTCTCAAAATGCCTTATTGTACTGAACTCACCCTTCTTGTGATGATGTGAGGTGATAAAATGCCTGACCGATGAGATAAAGGGAGGTGAATGATGTGGGCTTTGTGACCTAGCTTTGGGCTGCTATTGATCTTCTGACTACTCAGCAGAACACAGGGTCATCTGCTTCTGCCCTGTGGTTGACTGTGGCTAACTTAGCACAACTGTGGACGGGTGGGGGGTGGGGGGTACTACAGTACTTATTTGGGGGAGCCAGAGTCACCTGAAGGGGGGGTCACCTGTGGAGCCAGGCAGGCTAAAAGTCTGAGCCCTGAGTATGTGTGGTGCAGGAACCTTCCACCAAGGCTGATGTTGTCTGGCCCGTTCTCAAGGTCCCCACTCTTCTTTCTTCCCAGCTTTTTCTTCTTTAAACAAATTTTCGTCTTAAACACCTTTCCCATTAGTTTGACGTGTTTTGTGCCACTAGGTTGGGCTGTTTGTGACTCCCCTCATTGTAATGTTTGCAGCAAAAATGGTGGGTGGCGGGGAGTGGTAGTTTGGAAGAGGGGTGTGGAGGAAGGAATGTGGCATAGGAACGAGATTACACATCCAGAAGCTAAGGTAGGCCAGTCGCAGGGTGCTGGACGCAGTGAGAGCTGCTGGTGAATCCATAGCACTGTTGTTCTGGTGTGTGTAGAGGGGGCTGTCATTTCTTGCTTAGGCCAGATCTGAAGGGAGGGGGACTGAGTTCTCTTTTCTCTAAGAAGGGTGTCTGGATGGACCAAAAATTAGGAAGTGTTAGCTACTACCAACAACAACAAATTGTGCTGAGGAGTGTTGGTTTTGAGCAGGCATTTTTTGGCTCAGGGTAAGACTGCTAATCAGCCAAATAGAGGGGACCAGCCCACCTCTTTGTCCTTAAAAGGCGGGCGGGGGTGAGACAGACCCTAATGGAGCACTGGAAGACATACCATGAATCAAATAATGAGTTCGATGGACAAAAATTGGAATCAGAAGCCTTCATCTGGTCCTTAAGTTTGGTGGACAAAGGTAATGGGGTCAAGAAGGCTCCATGTTGGTGCGTGAGTTTGGTGGATAAGGGTTGTAGAGAAGAGAAAGCTCCTCAGCTAGCCTCTTGCCTGTGGCCCTTAAGTCACAGGGCTTGTTGTTCCATAGAAGGGAACAAAGACCTAGGGAATGGCTTCTCTGTTGTGCCTCTCTTAAAACCAGCCTCACGGGATTCTTACCCCTTCTTCCTTCCCTGGGGAGGCCCCTGTGATTGCAGGCTGGTTTGAGCAGACCCCTTGGAAGTGAACTTGCCCTTGCAGGGTGGTCATATTGAAAGATTTTTTAGGGTTGTCCACCTGGGCCTCTTGTCTAACTCTTTCCCATTCTCCTCCTCTTCCTCTTTTCTGGGGCCTGCATGGACATTTGATATTCTTTCATCTCCTTTGCCAGAAACATGTGCATAGCCAGGAGTTAACAACATTGGGGAAGGGCAGATGCAGCTGAAGTGGTACCACCAGTGGGCACTGTATCCATGGGGCTCTGATTTTGACCACTGATGTCTCATTTGTATCCTGAATAGGCTGACCCGTATGTCCTAGACTTCCCGTAAAGTGTTTTCCTCGGTCTAATTGACAGACCTGTCAACATATTACCTTAAGAAATAATTGAAAAGGCTGTTCCCTTTTCAATAAGGAACAACTTCCTTTCTTTGCTTTGAGTCTCTCCTGGGTCCACCACCACCAGAAAATGAGGAGAGATAATGGAAGGAAAGTGAGTTTCTCAGTGAATGTTGGTACTTTTCTCTTTAATGAATCTTTATAATGTGGCCCCAATAGTTCAGTTTCTTAGGTCTTCCTCTTTAGACTAGAGACTGTCACAGTTGTTGGCCCTAGAGGAGTGGGTTTCTTTGTTGTTGTTAATAGGTCTATTTTTTGAACCTTACCATTGTTCTTTGTAAGGCACTAGGGAGAGATGACTGGGTGCCTCAGTTGGTTAAGCGTCTACCTTTGGCTCAGGTCATGATCCTAGAGTCCCGGGATCGAGCCCTGCAGCGGGCCCCTTGCTTGGCACGGAGCCTGCTTCTCCCTCTGTCTGCTGTTCCCCCTACTTGTGCGCTCCCCCGCCCCTCCGACAAATAAATAAATAAAATCTTTAAAAAAAATAAATGATGTACTAGGAATTCCATAGTATACATCACGTATGTGTCATTAACTGTTTTTAAGGATCATATGAAGGAACATGTTTTGACAAAGAAGAAACTGATCGAGAGGTTGAACTGGTAATATGCCACAGCTGTCAGCAGCAGAGCTGGGGCTGACCCAGGCCTGACGGGCTTCATGTGCCCAGAGACCCTGCAGAGTTGTTGCTTGTTAATAGATCTAGGGAAATCAGTGCCCACTGAGGTACCTCTTCACACCCAGTAGGATGGCAGCAGTAGGAAAGACATGATATCAGGACAGAACAATGTGGAGGACGTGAAGAAATCAGAGCCTTCATACATGGCCAGTTGGCTGGGGGGTTGTAAAAGGGTGCAGACACTTAGGCGAATAGTCTGGCGGTTCCTCAAACAAACATGGAGTTGCTGTATGATCCAACAGTTCTGCTGCTAGGTAGATACTGAAGAGAAGTGCAAACACTTCTCTTAAGTATATCGTGTGAAAACACACAAACACACAAAAACTTATACACAAAAGTTCGTAGCAGCATTATTCATGAGAGCCAAAACGTGGGAACAACCCAAATGTCCTGATGAGTACTGGACCGATGAATGGATAAATAAAATGTGGTGTATTCATGGGATAGAATCTTAGCAGAAAAAAGTATAAAGTACTGACACAGGCTACAACATGGATGATCCTTGAACAAACGCTAAATGGAAGAAGCCAGAAACAAAAGACTACATATTTTTTTTTTAACATTTTTGTTTATTTATTTGATAGAGCACAAGCAGGGAGAGTGGCGGGCAGACGGAGAGGGAGAATCAGGCTCCCCAAGCAGGGAGCCCAATGCAGGGCTCCATCCCAGGACCCTGGGATCATGACTTAAGCCGAAGGCAGACGCCTAACCGACTGAGCCACAAAGACGCCCCAAGAGACTGCATATTCTATGATTCCACTTAACATGGGATGTCCAGAACAGGCAAATTTCTAGAGACAGAAAGTCAACTAGTGGTTGCTTAGGGCTCGGGAGTTCGGGAGCAATGGAGAGTAGCTGGTAATAGGTAGGTGGTTTTTTTTTTTTTTTTTTGGATGATAAAAATGTTCTAAAATGGTCTGTGGTGTTGGTTGCCCAACCCTGTGAATATACTAAAAACTATTGGATTGTACACTTTAAATGTGTGAACTGTATCTCAGTAAAGCTGCTAAAAGGAAATCTAGGGGAGAGTTCAGAGGGGGGTCCTCTGCATGACACCACTGGGTGTGGGAGGGCCACAACACAGGAAACTCCCTGGCCATCCCCTCATATCCGCTACTAGAGGAAGAGATGTCCCCCTGCAGACCTCACAGAATCTGAGCCTTGGGGGGGGGGATGCCCTGAGGTCTGAAGAGGTCCAGATGGCCCTGTGTGTGACCTCGCCAGCATTCCTCATCAGTTCCGCAGACATTTATGAGTGCCACGTTCATCTTCATTTCTGCGGGAGCAGGGGGCTGTGACAGAGCCCTTGCCCTCAGGAAGTCTGTGGTTTCACCGACGAGACAGACAAGTCCCAAAATTGACTGGTCGGGGAGATAAAAAAAAAAGTCTGGTTGCCTGCACTAGGAAGGAAGGAGAGAGGCTTGAAGGTGAAGGTCACATCTGAGTTGAACCTTGAGAGCTGAGTACAGGTTGGTGAGGTTGCGAGTGCACTCTTACCTCTGGAAGGCCTTTGTTCAGTATGTTTAAGTTGGAGATGGGGGATGGGTCGGGGGCGTTGGAGGGGAAGAGAATACAGCAGGACGTGAGGACTTGGGCAGTACTGACATCTAGAAAGAGGCATCATCTCATTTCCTGGGTATCTGCTGTGTTCTTATGTGAGGCGTGTGGAATACAGAGGTTAACAAGACAGACCCTTTCTGCGTGTGCAGAGAAATGGGGGCTGTGACATTTGCAGTACCATATGGAAGGAAAATCAGAGTGTAGTTTCACAAGCTGCAAAGATGGAAACTTAA